GCTTCTCCCTCTCCCACTCCCCCTGCTTGTGTTCCCTCTCTCGCTGTGTCTCTCTCTGTCAAATAAATAAATAAAATCTTTTAAAAAATAAATAAAATAAATAAATAGCATTTAATGATGTTTAGCTAATAAACGTAAGGATGCTCATGCCTCCCCACTCCCCAATATCCCACAAGACAAAAAATAACTGGTCTATGGTAATGAATCTTTTTTCTTCCTTCAATGCATTAAGAAGTCTAATGAAACTGAGCCCTATTTTTACTCTGCCCACAGTATGGATCTTTGATTTGAGTCACTTGTGTCAGACTCCTGTTCAGAAATGAGGCTCAGAACAAAGTCAGAATGCTCAGAGGAGCTGCTTTGGAATCTTCCTTCCAATGCTGCTTTAAGGATTCTTCCCTTCTCTCAACTACAAGCTGGGATGTTAACACAGCACTCACACTTCAGGAAAGAGTTTTTCTCACAATTCTCCTCCGTCTAAAATAGCTCCTCTAACCAAACTCCTCAGGCCTACCTTCAGAGAGACAGGGTCCCGGGTTCCAAACAGCTTTCTTTCAACAAATATGCTTTCAACATAGCAGAAGAGCCTGAATCTTTCCCACTCTTTCTTTCTCAAATCAGCTGTCACACTTATATTGGTTTCCATTAACTGTGCTGTTTATTGCTATTTTGAATAAAAGTGTCATGGTAAGAACAGGGAATTTCCTTCCTATTTCTCACTGAAGGGCTTGTGTCAGTTATAACCCAAGTGGTAAAGTATCAACAAGAAGAAGACACCAGCACCCTCTCCTTTCTGAGCTTTATACTGCAGCATGTTACCCGCTCACATAGAAAATTCTGTAAGATTATTTTTTGGAGGCATAAGAACAAAAGCAACCATCTAAACAATATTAAGACAAAATGTTTAACTTAAGGCTTGAAACACCAGAGAACTCATTTCTAAATCTACACACTGGGGGACTTCCAGTAAGGCAAGGAAAGAGGAAGAAGTTGAACAACAAAATGTACTTTCAGTGCACTTCAGGAAGTAATATTGGAGGATTAATATCAGTAAACCTGAATTTAAAGATGTAAGCTCTGCAGTAGAGGCTTGGGGATTTTATGGTCTTCCCAAAACTAGCTGTGAAAGACAGCATGCTTGTTTGAAAAAAAAAAAGAAAAAGAAAAGGTTCTCTATTTTCTCAAATCACTATGCTAGGCCAGGCTTATCGACTATAGCTGAGTGGAGGTCTCTCTTACTCCTGCTTTGCCTTATTACTTTTGACACATCATAAAATGAGAACATTACACATTTATTTTTTGGGTGAGGAGAAAGGACATGGAGCCTGAGGGATCCAGTTCTCATTGTTTCAAATTAAGAAATTTCTTTTTGAAAGTCCTGACTTGAAATTAAAAAAAAAAATCAACATTCTCCAATTGGGCTTATGAAATCCAAAACTTTCTAAATAAATTGTATCCTACATGCATTTAAAAGCACCCAGAATACCCATAGGAAATATGCAAACTGGGGCAGCGGGGGAGAGGGCTATGGTCAACAAAAATGGTCGGAGAACTACTTAACATTACTTGAAAATGAAAAGTAGCAGCAATATTAAAATCTTATTACTACCCAGTGATATGTTACAAAGGTGGGATTCCAGGGCAAGTTTCAGCCACACATGAGGGAGGATGGGGAAGGGGGGTGGGGCAGAGGAGTGTTGGACAAACTGAAGACAACCGCCAGGGCAACCTTACACTGATGGATGGCCACAGCTGAAGGCAGATTTGGCTCATCTCTGGGGTTTTCCACTGGGAAGGGACCAGCAGTTCAGCCATCAATGGACCAGCATCCACAAAGCCTGTGGGGAAATACAGGAGCCAGAAGAGTGGGGTAGGGAAGGAGAAAGTTTGGAAAATGGAAGAGTCAAATACAGTAGCAAAATGTTGTAATTATTAAACATGAGGCTTCAAAAATGCATAGATGTACCTCTTAAATTGAAATGAACTGGCTGAAAAGAACTGGTACTCTGGGAAGCAGTCTGATACGCTTTTTAGAACCAAATTACTTTTTAATTACATCTGTGAATTATACCTGCCAAGGGGAAATTAATTTTTGGAGGAAAGAGAAAAACAATGAAACCTACGCAATTTTTATAGATGGTAACTTTACTCAGAGTCCTCTACATGTGGCCCCTGTGGAAAATAACAGCCTAAGAAGAAACATACTCACACTCTACTGAAAACCTTCGCTGGCCTAGTTCCACCAAGTCCATTAATGTAGCAGGGGCCCAAAGGCAGGTGACCTGATTGACAAAAAAAAGCCCTTCTAGAAAGTGCCAAACTTCTATCACATAGCTCATTAAACACTTTATAATCAAGAAGAAAACTACTAGCGATAACTTGGAAAGCTTGGCCTTGAAATGGGGCAGCAGCAACCTCCCTTGTAAAACAAAAAATACTTTTCAGGTCCAGAAGAAAGTTGATCCAGTGGTCTTACCTCCCTCCCCCAGTGCTAACCTACCTAAAGTCGTGGGGGAAAAACCCCAGACAAACCAATAAGACTAGTTAAAATGATGTGGCACAAGGAAAATTAGGTCTATTGCAATTACCTTAACATTAACTGTCAAGGAAAGTCTAATCTGTACCACGAGGCTGCAATCCTCAAAACTCTCTTTGTACATCTTATGTGTTGACTCAAATCTTTCAGTTGTAGATGGGACAAGCTCAATGTATGTGTGTACATACATATATGTACACACACACACACACACAGTCATGCCCAAGGCATCCCAAAATCAACAGGATGGGAAACTTATTTCCTGAATAACCAAATTGATAAACTGCCCCTGGAAGATTCAACAGAAGCCAATTTTCCTAGACACACATCCTAATTATTTAGGCAATGACTGAGTTGTTACGTTACTTCCTGGGACTAATTATTGTTTCAGCAACAGTTAAGATTCTTTAGAAGCACAAGAGGTTGTATCTGCCTGAAAACCCTTCTTATCTCTGGTCCAAAATAACCCAACTATTACCTCCAAGGAGAAAGAATTACATCTTGGGAGATTTTTTTTTTTTAAGTGCTTTGTGCCTCTGCCTGTTTCCACTTAGATCTTACCCTTGCTCCACTCTGTCAGTGGGAGCTACATCTCCCAGGCTCCCTTGCCAACCAATTTCTGGGTAAGTTCCATCAATGGGAGGTAACAATAAGGATAAGATGTAGGAGGAGGAGGGAAGCCAGGGTAATGCTCTCTTAACAGGGTCACAGTTCCAGCTGCCACCAAACGACTTTTCTTTCCATGCTTCTAGCTCACACCAGATAGCTCAGACTTCAGGCCTTTGGTATCACCAGCACCTTCTAATTTCCTTAGGGGCACACTAGCTCCCAGGTGTTGTTAATCCCTGGGTTGCCTCACCAGCCCATTTACCTTCTAGGCTCTTATATCATCCATGTAACCTATTCTGTATATTAAATTCCCTCTGTTTGGGACGCCTGGGTGGTTCAGTCAGTTAAGCATCTGCCTTCGGCTCAGGTCGTGATCCCAGGTCCTGGGAATGAGCCCCACATTGGGCTCCCTCCTCAGTGGGGAGTCTGCTTCTCCCTCTCCTCCCCGCTTGCTCTCTTGCTCTCTCTCTTTCAAATAAATAAATAAAATCTTTAAAAAAATAAATTCCCTCTGCTTGTACTATCTACAGTGGGGTCTGTTTCTCTGCTAGGTCCCCAACTTTAAAATATGTTTTAAAACTTAGGTTTCTTAAGAATTAAACAAATATTCAGATAACCTGTTAAAGATTTCTTCTAGTAAGAAACAAAAGATTTATAGATGACAAGATCAATTCATTCATTCAAACAAATATTTACTAAGAGCTACATCTATACCAAACACTACTCTAGGTGCTGGAAATACTACAGTGAATAAAACAGGCACAACCACCCCTGCCCTCATGGAGCTTACATTCTAGTGGACATGTTAACAGTGGCACAGTATAATTTTTAAAAAATTTATCAATATCGGAATATTTCTTTAACAACAGAGGAATTTGGTTAAAGTAAATTAACTTCAAGGTGTTCTACTCTACATAGATTTGGTTCCTACCTTTTCAGTGTGGTAAGCTGAACTGTCACATTCCAGGGGCCAACACAGAACTTCTTCAAAATTAGTATCTACTTAAACTGTCCACTTGCTCAAAGAGAAGTACAACTGTGATAAGGATTTAAGCAGACACAATAACAGAAGTTAGGTACTGTACGCTTAGAATGTAAAACATACGTGTGCTTTATGCAGATTCCTGCTTGGCATCTTTTCTACAGGAATATCATTTGGAGGAGTTGAGTCTGAGTCCATTTAACAAGTCATTTTGTCCCTTGTCTGTGCCATAGGTAGGGTCCATCAACATAACATACAGAGCCAGCTGCAATGTGGATAATGAGTAAAGTGCAGCAGTCACTAATTGCATGACGTCATTTCCAAGATGGAATTTTCAGGCAGAAGAATTGAAACAGACAATGACTCATGTAGTGAACAGTTATATAGACAACTATGCCCAAGAAAGCTGCCACCTACATATCATAATGACATCAGATGAAAAATGCAGAAAGTAGTTTTCTGATTTATTGGAAAGCAATAGGTTTGCTGAAAAGTATACTGAGAGATCAGGCTGCAGCTACCTGCTTACACCTCCTAAGCACTGAGCAACCAAGAGCACACATCAAATATTCAGCACTCTTAGACCACTTGAGTATTAAGCATGCTCAGCCTCAAAAATTAATGTCAACTCCAGAAGTGACATAATATCTACCACTGGCATTTCACTAGACTTTTCTAAGATAATTTAATGTACTTGCGTACACTTCCATGTTGGTCTTGTGGGCACAATACTGAGACCGTTCTTACTACTCATCAGTTAGAAAACATTTCATGTCTCTAATACTTATAATTTCATTTGAGTAGTAGCTGGACTTCCAATAGTATGGGCTTCTTACACAATAGAGAGTCTAAAGCATATTCATAATCCCAATACTATAAAGCAAATCAACTACAGGGCTAGAATTTTAACCTTATTGGCCCCTGCCTACCTTTATCCCTTGCCACTCCCCAACATGTAGTTAAAATATACTAGAGAATCCTCCCACCCACCCACACACTCAATACCTTGCAGGCTTTGCACATTCTGTTTCCTCTGCTTCCAAGGCCAAGTTCCCTAAATTCACCTGGCAAAGTCACGCTTATCATTCAAGACACAGCTTACTTGTCTCTTTGAAGCCATGACTTCCTGAGACAGACTAGTTTGCTTTCTCCAGAGCTTTCATTTCTCCCTGCACACAATGCCATGATAATACTACACTGCATCATTTATCAGTTTATACATCTGCTTCCCCATTCAACTGTATGATCCTTCGGACCAAAGACAGGGCCTTTGAATCTACCACATATCCTGATACGGTGTCTGACACCAAGTAAGTGCTTAACAAATATTTTCAGAATGAATACATATAGTGTGGGATTGCAGGCTTGCAGAGTTCCCCCTAAACGATAAAGCATTTTCTACTCTCTATCCCACTGCCACAGAATGATATTTAAAGGACAAGGAGAACAAATAGGAAAGTATCTCCCAGGGAACAAGCTTAACAAGTTGATATTAAAAGACAATCTAATGAGGACTTTGATAAATTACTTTCAGTGTAACTGTGTCAACCCAACCATGACTGTTCGAGTTAAGGTGCATTAGCTGTAAAAACTCAGAAAAGGGGCGCCTGGGTGGCTCAGTCGTTAAGCATCTGCCTTCGGCTCAGATCATGATCCCAGGATCCTGGGATCAAGCCCCGCATCAGGCTCCCTGCTCAGCGGGAAGCCTGCTTCTCCCTCTCCCACTCCCCCTGCTTGTGTTCCCTCTCTCACTGTGTCTCTCTCTGTCAAATAAATAAATAAAGTCTTTTAAAAAAATAAAAATAAAAATAAAAAACCCAGAATTTATTTGATCTTGGCTGGAGAAGGGTGTTTAACAACTAGGGATGGACACAAAACTTCTGTTGTCTTGATCTGACGGAATTTTTTAAACCTCTCAAAAGGTGCCACAGATACAGGTAAAATAATTAAAAATTGATAGGAAAGTTCATGTTCTAAGGAATGCTAGTTAACAAGCAATGACTTAGCTATCTATCAACACAAAACAAATATAAAGCAAAGCTAGAGATTAATTTACTGAAGTTAAAATTTAGGACTACTGTAGAAAATTTCTACACAAAGATTCCCTGGTCTAATCTTTCATACAAGTTTAAAGAGTGAGGAAACATCCAAAGACCATCCTCAAGGGTACCATAAAGTACATTTGCAAAAGTGCCAGAACCCCCATATATAGGAAATGGTTTTGGCTTAAAGACTAGGGAATTACTGGGTGAGTCATTCTAACCATGGCTTCCAGTAACCAGAGTACTTAAGGGAATAAAGTCAGAAAGTGAAACAAATAAAACCAAGATAGAATAAATAAGACCAGCAATGGTGGTAATAAGTAATGCTTACACTTGTGTAACACTTTAGTTACCAGGCACTTTCATTTTTCAATTGAGGAAAATTAAACTGAGAAAGTTCAGTGCAGTACTGAAGGTCACAAAGCTAAAATAAGCAGAGTGAAAGAGTTTAACTGGATGTTTCAACATCAAGTCGACAGCCCCTTCCATTACTTTGCTTCTGTGCCACCTGAAAGGTGGGCTTATTTGAGCTATGGATGGGCCTAGGACACTTTCTAAGATGCCTTCATCAAGAGCAGATGTTTCCAAATCACTTAAGCATCTCTTTCAACTTAATCAAGATAACCTAGGTATAGCCTTAGAACTGCATGGAGCACTGGGTGTTATACGCAAACAATGAATCATGGAACACTACATCAAAAACTAATGATGTAATGTATGGTGATTAACATAACGTAATTTAAAAAAAAAAAGAAAGTCCCTTGAAAGAATGAAGAAGCGGGCGCCTGGGTGGCTCAGTCGTTAAGCGTCTGCCTTAGGCTCAGGTCATGATCCCAGGGTCCTGGGATCGAGTCCCACATCGGGCTCCCTGCTCTGCGGGAAGCCTGTTTCTCCCTCTCCCATTCCCCCTGCTTGTGTTCCTGCTCTCTCTCTCTCTCTCTCTGTCAAATTAATAAATAAAATCTTAAAAAAAAAAAAAAGAATGAAGAAGCTCTTTAATGTACATGGAGAGAGCACTTACATGCTTTCCATGTTATACTGCTGATTGAAAAATGCAAGGTGTCACGGACTGTGAGCAATACACTACTACTTGCATAAAAGCACTGCAAAAGAATATATTTAAATGTAGTTGCTTGCCTGTGCATATATTATCTCTTAAAAGTCCCATAAGAAATTACCAAAAGTGGTTACTTCTAGGAAGGGAAAATGGTGGCTAAGGGACCAGGAATAAGAACACAACTTTTCATTGTATATACTCGCCTTTGAACCTTTTATATTTTGAACACATGAAAGTGCTACCTTTTCCGAAAAGCATATTTAAATCTAAGAGTATGTAGTGGAAACTGGAACAGAGGCAATAGTTAGGTAATTCAAGGTAAAACATTTCAGAGGCATGATGTAGCAGAAGGGAAAAGTACAAAATATTACAAAGTTTCTGTCAAACTCCAGAATTCTAAGTGGTGTTTCACAGTCTGAAGTATGAAGTAAATATTCCACAAGACCATTAAATCTCTTATATTTTAATTCTTTGTTCATTAAAAAGCTCTCAAATTTTTACAAACCTTGGTACTGAGAAAGTAATATCCCAATAGTGGACACGGGTATCCAGGTCATCAGAAAAACAGATCCTTACATGGTAAATAAGATAGTGCCTAGTTTAAACCAGTCTCTGAAGAGGGTGATTAGCAGCTATTCCAGGCACACTGATAAAACATGGAACCGCAGAGCTAAAGATTAAGCCTTGGACTAGTACAACCTCACAAGGGTCTATCCAAAAATGGGACCCAGCCTAAACTATGTAGAGTTACCACTGACATATCTGGAATTTTTAGTATGTTTGTCCTTTGTCCTATCACTACTTAAGTCAGTCCAAAAATTTACCCTAAAGGTCACAATGTCTTTGGGTGATGAGGAAACGGTATCTTTGGGCCTAAAAGTAAGTCAAAGCATTTTTTAAAAGGCAATATCTAAGCAGCTTTCTCTGCCACACAGGAATCACTTCAGTGCCTTAGGGATCCCAGAAACCAGTGAGTCTTATGCTCAAGAGAGTTAAAAATCCCAGGATCAACAAAACTTGTACTACGTAAAGAAAACACATGCTTGTTCTCTACTCTGATGTTCACATTACATATCCAAAGATAATCACATCCTTAAACAAGTGTATTTAAAAGAAGAGCCATTGCCAAAGGGTTATTTTAGAACATCAGAAAAATACTGCTTATAGGTCTGCAGTCCAGGGCTACATCATCTGATTTAATATTAATAGATGAGCACTCACTCACCTGGTCCTGTACAATTAGCTCTCAATTTTCTAAGAAACAACATGAGACACAGGGATAAACTCAGATCCAAATCTCATTTTCCAAACCTAATAGTTTTTAAATACCTCTTCCCACTACATGTATTTTTTACCAGAGCTAACAAGTAACTTAATCTGATATGAGTGTCTCTTCCTACCATGATCCAGTAGTTGTCTGTATGATCATTATGACAACCAAAATTAGGGAAAAGGAGGAGGAAAATTAGTGAGAAGGGTTGAAAGTGTGGAAGGAGTTAGATAATACACAAACTGGATAAACTGAGGCCTAAACAACATGTTATTTAACTGAATTGAAAGATGACTGACACCTTGTCATTTCATGTTTAATACAATGGCCAATTCACTGAGGCCACCAAGCCAAAATGTAAAACTAATTTGTGAAAAGAAATCATTTCAGGAACCAGGATTCTACCATTGACAGCAGTTAATAAAGTTTACAACCCGGCAGTTACTAGTTCTCATCAAGAATTAACTACTGTTTCATTATCTGATCCCCAGTAATGCTATTGATAAAAAGCAATGGAAAATTTGGGGGAAGAAGTGATGAATCAAGCTCTCTCTTCCAAATGTTATATTTCATTGGAATATGAGTAAGTATGAGTGGTAGGAGAAATGGGATGTTGGGGGTAGTCATCAAAATGGCATCTGACTCCCCAAATGTAGCAATGCTCACTCTAGTAGGTTGCTTCACTGTGACTCAAGATCTGTCAATTGAGGTCATAAGGGAATTTGAGTAAAGCCAGGAAATAATACTCCTAAACTTTAAACTGAATCTTCCAAAAAGTCTAGGACAAGATTTAACAAGAGTCAACTATAAGAAATCAACCTATTCAACATAAATGGATTCTAAAATACTTTTTAAATCAAATTCTTGCTAAGGCAAAAATGCAGGAAAGAAGTCTGGGCACATGTTTTCCTAAAAGTACATGCCATTTATTTATTGGCAGAGGACATTAAAATATACTACTAGATGTTTAAATCAATGTATCGTTCCCCTGTTCTCCTTACATAACCTTATTTTTCTAAAATAAAAGGTAATTGGGGCGCCTGGGTGGCTCAGTCGTTAAGCATCTGCCTTCGGCTCGGGTCATGATCCCGGGGTCCTGGGATCGAGCCCCGCATCGGGCTCCCTGCTCCGCGGGGAGCCTGCTTCTCCTTCTCCCACT